CTACTTTCTTTGGTACCAGCAATATCGGACTTGCTATTCGATTCTTCGATATTATCCTCACGTATCATTTTATCAATTTGTTTTTTGACCTCTGGTTTTAAAGATTGTGGTAACCTGTAAAGTTTCGTATAAACTGGCTTGACATTTGGTTTCAAAATAATTGATTGATTCATAATATTCGTTGTTGTTAATGTATCTCCTTCTAAATAAAAAAACATCAGAATATTTAGCACAAATTATCTCTATTGATTTTTGTTCTTCCAACCCTAAATGATTTAAATTTAATTGAGATAGTAATTTTTTCACTGTGTCTACATCCGATTTTAGTTTTCCGATTTTACACTGCTCGAAATTGCTTAATACGTACGCTACACATGGTTCAAATACTGGTAACTTAATATCTTGCTCACTGGTGTTCTGAATTTGTACTGGAATTTTATTATTTTTCGATCTGAGTATGCTTCCTGCCAAAAATAAATTTTCTGTTAACTGCTTAGAGCTTACCACAAAATCTGTTTGTTCATTATAATTGCATTTCAAAAAATGTATTGACTCACTACGTGCTGGAATATTTAAATAAGCCTCAAAATCGCTATTCTTATGAATTTGTACCACACTCTCTCTACCATTTCTCAGTAATGTTAATATGTTATTTGATAAATCAATGTTCGCGAAGTTCGTTCTCAGGAAATCTAACCCGATAATTCCGTCGACTCGACATGGTAATGAATCGAATAAGTAGAACCTGTGACAAAATAAGTTTCCGTTTTCTAACTATAATGTTATGTCAGCAAAGTGATTCACGCTAACTTGACCACCAACGCCGTTTATAACAACATCGCTTTTGTTTATAGTTACGTTCTCGGGTATCGCCCTTCTATCTAATACAGATAATGTTGCTCCAGTGTCTAATAAAAGATATATGTATGATTGTTAATATAAACTGTTATAAATTCTGTGTCATGATTACAATTTAAAATTTTATGGCCGAAAAAACTGCATTTGCATGGAATCTACATTGTCTTGAGTACTACTTGTAGGAGACGGATTATTCGTATGTGGCATAGGTTGTTGCATTGTATATGCCTGGTCAGAGTTCTGACGTCCCTATATGTTTTATAGGTATTTACGCGTCCGCGATAAGATTGACAATGGGGACGTGACGGCCGTATGTATCTATTTGCCTATTGAGGGAACATTGGTGCTCCAGGGTGTCTGTAAAAATTACCATAACCACGATGACCGGCAGGGCGCTGAGATCTGTAACCGTAACCTTGGGAGTAGTTCTGTCTGTATATATTTGATGGAAAATAATTTCGCTTACCCCGATAGTTTAACACGGTGCCTTGCGGTGGCTGCGCTGATTCCTCATCCTCAGCTGCTCTTACCGCGTCCTTGAAGTCGCTGTAGTCTCGCGCTGATATGATTGTACTCAATCTCCTATTGCGGAGACCATCCGCAAACTTTTTCACGGCCAACATTAATTGGCCTCAAAATTTCGTATGCCTCTGGTTTTGAATTAGCTTGCGAAATTGTCAGGTTAACGAACATTGTTTCTAATTTATTTGCATAATCTTTTATGGTCATTTCCTTTTGACTTATATTATTAATTTGCGTTTGTGGCGGGTAGCCATCATACAACGCAGGATAATTGACAGATGCCTGAATCTCGCTTACGACGTTTTCAAGATAAAGCGCATATATACAAGTTCCGAACAACAACATTCGGACCGTCGGTCTACCGAGTAATATCATCCGCTCGGTGGAAGATCTTCCCTTTGTCGTAAGCCCCAAACGTTAAAAGAGAACTTGCCGATTGCTTAGTTAGCAAATATTTTTGTATGTCAGTTATCAATTCCGTAACAGTTGCATAATTTTGTTTTAATTTGAGTTTAGCAGTTTTACTGATACGCGTTTTTAAAACGAAAGAAATTAACAAAACTTTGCAAGTTTGCTCTTTTGAGCATGAATCAGACATTTGTATAGCATCTATCATTTTTTCAGTAATTTCCTCCGTACCGTTCATCACGGGGATCAAGGCTGCCGCCGTTTTAATGTCGAACTTGTCCATGGTTACACTTTCAATATCTGACTTTATTTCGTAACCTAAAATTTTCTTAAAAGTTAAATCGATATCCTTAGTTAACAATTCCAAAAAATATGCATTTTCCTGCACATACTGTACGTCTAAAATTTTGTACTAAATACAAATGCTCCTTAAACAATATCTTAGCGTTTTTTATCTTATTTTCAACACTGTCCTTATATTTTTCTCTCCTTTCTAACCCTAATTTTCTTAAATTCAAACAAATACTTTGGAGTTCGCTTAGAATAAACTGTAATCGCTCACCCATTTAAATTGTTCACTCACTATAATCACTTTCCACTTTCTTCATCTACTAACTCCAACCCTCTGCGCCATGACATGCGACGTCGAAGACCTTCTACGATTTCAGCTCTTACTTCTCTCTGTATCCATTTCTGGTGACATTTCCGGTATTGCCTGTAGGCTAGCACGCCGGCGACGAGGATGATAATTACGCAAACAGTTCCTACGAAAATCTTTGGCTCTGAAACTCTTGGATCACTGCCGAATTTCCTTCTCCTCCAGCAGCATTCTGCGCTATCACTATTTCTTCCTTTTCCTGTTTCGTGTTTTGTCCTCCCATATTCTTAGTATAAATAGGTTCTCTACTTTTTTCACAAACTCTTTATAAACAGGTACAGACGATGCGTAGGTAATGTCAAAAATATGTTTGTGCGGAACGAATAAATTTATAATTTTTTGCNTACTAAATACAAATGCTCCTTAAACAATATCTTAGCGTTTTTTATCTTATTTTCAACACTGTCCTTATATTTTTCTCTCCTTTCTAACCCTAATTTTCTTAAATTCAAACAAATACTTTGGAGTTCGCTTAGAATAAACTGTAATCGCTCACCCATTTAAATTGTTCACTCACTATAATCACTTTCCACTTTCTTCATCTACTAACTCCAACCCTCTGCGCCATGACATGCGACGTCGAAGACCTTCTACGATTTCAGCTCTTACTTCTCTCTGTATCCATTTCTGGTGACATTTCCGGTATTGCCTGTAGGCTAGCACGCCGGCGACGAGGATGATAATTACGCAAACAGTTCCTACGAAAATCTTTGGCTCTGAAACTCTTGGATCACTGCCGAATTTCCTTCTCCTCCAGCAGCATTCTGCGCTATCACTATTTCTTCCTTTTCCTGTTTCGTGTTTTGTCCTCCCATATTCTTAGTATAAATAGGTTCTCTACTTTTTTCACAAACTCTTTATAAACAGGTACAGACGATGCGTAGGTAATGTCAAAAATATGTTTGTGCGGAACGAATAAATTTATAATTTTTTGCAAGTTAGTCCAAAAATTGTTATGCACTTATTTAAAACTCGGCGTAACTAGATATTACTTTACAAGCGGCGCGCCCGCGACGCGCCACTGGCAGGGTCGCCATGTGATGTGTGGGCTATCTAAACGAAACGAGTGCTTTGGTCGACGATCGTTTATTGACTGCCTTACTAATTACTTAATACAAAATACAATGGTTGTACCTATACTACAACTAAAGTAACGTCTTGTTGCACACTACAGTAATTTTTTGTTTATTATTAATTGTAACAGTATTTATGGCCAGACTTAAGCGACAATATTTAATACTTTTCTCTATTAGGATTAAGATGATATTATTAATTTATATCAATGGCCTCGCGCAGTAGAATTAGATTTAGAAGACTTAATTTCTTTACAGGGGGGGATTTGCATTTTAGCTAAATTTTGTTATATGGTTGACGCTACTGTTCAAAGCATGCTGATAAACTGTGAATCTGGCTATTTTTTTACATCCGCTATATGCTTTATTAACTCCGATCGAAATGTGTCTCTTCGTGACGTATGAGGGCCACAATCATAGTCCAGTTTATGAATACCGGCATCCGGCGGAGTTGTGCCACGCTTAACAGATCTTGGATAGTGACGTAATAACTAATGGGATTGTAAATCTTTAAAGTATTCGAAATTTTAGAAATAATAAAATATAGATGTTAACTCCCCGGTTAGGTGGTGCTATTGTAGGGGACTGATACCCCGCATCGCTTAGCTTACTACTAGGCAGTTTTAATAATAAGCCTTATACGCTAGTTAATGGTTAACGTGCAGCGATTACTGGTGGTAGGACCTCTTGTGAGTCCGCGCGGGTAGGTACCACTGCCCTGCCTATTTCTGCCGTGAAGCAGTAATGCGTTTCGGTTTGAAGGGTGGGGCAGCCGTTGTAACTATACTGAGATCTTAGAACTTACATCTCAAGATGGGTGGCGCATTTACGTTGTAGATGTCCATGGGCTCCAGTAACCAATTAACACCAGGTGGGCTGTGAGCTCGTCCACCCATCTAAGCAATAAAAAAAAAAACGATCCACTGCGGTCGAATAAACATGTAATGATACCTATCGCTTTATTGACTGATCGGATGTGGTTTCCGGAGGACAATACACACCAGCCATAAATAACCTCACACTATGACCCCTCGAAGGGTACCCGGCAAAAAGTGGATAGGGCTTACTGCAAAGCCGGACTCATTGATGTGGATTGGGAGAGACCTATGTCCAGTACTGGTCTACTAAGGGGTGATGATGATAATATATATATTTTTATTATTATTATTATTAACATAGAAGTAGAAACACAATCATAATGTGCATCTGTGCTTGAACTAGGTGATAAAACCAGTATCTCAAGCGGCAATGATCCTCGTACAAAGAATACAACAGCTTTACTTCAGATACACAAAAATAGAAAGTTAATAGACAAGAAATAAACTGAAATTTATGGTTTTCATTCATTCATTTTTTTTTGGTATATTTAACGCTAGATATTTGAATTGTGAGAACCGAAGCATGTACTAATTATATTAATTTGTTCTTAAATTTTTGTTAGCTTTAACGATACTAATTTTATAACATTAATTACATTCCAGTTGGAATTGACAGGGAATGCTAATTACATAGATAAAACGGGCAAGGAGCAGAAGACCACCTGGGGGCCCTTGTCGAAGTTCACCTCCAACGATTCCAGGGAAGTCAGGTGAGGACGCTAAAAACATTGCTATGATAGCCCAGCAGTAGTAGCTCATAGATGCAATAACTTAATAACTCTGACTCCCAATTTCGATAATAAAGTTGAAGTCTCAACTTATTTAATTGTAACGTGCAACTGCTTTGCAACAGAAAAAAGTAGGACGCTGGTACCAAACCGTACAGGCCATGAATACTCCCCACTATAAATAATAACTTACCATAAATGATTCAAGAAACAACGATAATGTTGAAAGTCAGTTTTGATAAAACCACTTATTCCCAAAAACGCGTCTTGTGTAGCAGCGCCAAGTGCCGAGCATGTATCCATCATCTCATTTTATTAAAAATGTTTTTATTGCTTAGATGAGTGGACAAGCTCACAACCCACCTGGTGTCAAGTGGTTACTGGAGAACATAGACATCGACGACGTAAATGCGCCACCCACCTTGAGATATCAGTTCTAAGGTCTCGAGTATAGTTACAACGGCTGCCCCGCCTTTCAAAACAAAACGTATTTTCACCTCAGTTGATTAATGTCTCAAATTAATCATCTTCATTTCATTTCATTCCGTAATTTCATAAAAAATAGAATATAAATTAAAGTAAGACTTGACCTAAAGGTCTTAGTTACGAGGTCATAAAATGCCTTGAAAAAAAAAAAGAAAAGTTTACAGTCAGCAAGAGAAGTGCTGGGCGAGTTGGTACAGTGGAGCACAGTGGTTGCGCAAGTAGTTGTGTCGGTGTCGCAGGTTCGAGGACCTGCAGCCCAACACGCAGTACACGGTGCGGCTGAGCGCCATGACGCGCACGCGGCGCCGCGGCGAGGAGGAGCTGCAGCGCTGCACCACGGCGCGGGCCGGCCCCGACCTGCCGCCCAGCCCGCGCTGGAGGAAGGTCATCATCTCTTACAGTTCATACACGCTTCAAGGAGTTCAGTGGCTACCGGAGCCCTATAGACGTCTACAACTTAATCTGTAAAAAAAATTGTAATCTGTAAAAAATTTTCTGTAAATTAGTCACACTGGCTCACTGTCGTTATAGTTACTACCGGCAAACTTCTTCAGCAAATGACCTTGACTGCGCAGAACCGAATTTTAGATCACTTTGGTGGTGAGGGCGGGGCGCGACGGCAGAGGAGATCGTATCAAGCTCGTTATTGGTAGATCAGTCGAACCTTGCGCCCCGCACCGCGCCCTCGTCCCGCATGCTCCCTATACGCTTGCGTGAAAAGTATCGTTATTAATTGTTAAGTTATTTGTTATAATTGCTTGTTGACTTTGTTGTCATTGCTATTTGTTATTTTTTATAAAAAAATACACTATGTCGCACAAACTGGTTTAGTATTCAAAAGAAAGGGTAGAAAAATGGTGTACGACGTACTACAAGATTACGTAGTACAAGATTAAATTATTACAATTATTAACCTGTATTTTTTGTTGATGTCCTAATAAATATATAAATAAATACATATGTTGATTTTAATAATTTAATAGCATTATGACACAGAGTAAATAATGTTTTTGCACGTGAGTGTACCATGCGCGAACTTCCCCCACTACGTCAACAAATGCTCAAGAAGTTTGCCGACTATTATACCATGCCATATCTATCGTAACACCATTAGTTTGTCATATTTTAGGTACATTTACCTAAAAATCTTATCTTATATTTTTTATTTATTTTTATTCCTTAGATGGGTGGGCGAGCTCACAGCCCACCTGGTGTTGAGTGGTTACGGAAGCCCATAGAAATCTACAACGTAAATTGTGCCACCCACCTCGAGATGTAAGGTCTCAGTTCAGTACAACGGCTGCCCCGCACTTCAAAACGAATCGCATTACTGCTTCAGGACAGAAATAGGCAGGGCGGTGTTACCCACCCATGCAGACTTCGGTGTTTCCTGAGCACTATGACATGTCCTTCTTTGAAAGAGGCTCGTGGAGAGTATTAAGCGGTAGGCAGCGGCTTGGCTCTGCCCCTGGCATTGCTGAAGTCCATGGGCGACGGTAACCACTCACCATCAGGTGGGCCGTATTCTCGTCTGCCTTCAAGGGCAATAAGAAAATTAAAAAAAAAAACGCACACGATTACACGATGTTATTCCTTCATCGTGGAAGTCAATCGTGAACATTTGTCAAGTACGTATTAAATTAAAAAAATTGTTACCCACCTGCGGGATTCGAACACCGTTGCATCGCTAGATACGAATGCACTGGACATCTTATCCTTTAGGGCACGACGACTTCGAATTTATTTTTGCGCGTTTCATGAGTTTTTTTTTTTTTTTTTTTTTTTTTTTTTTTTTTTTTTTTTTTTTTTTTTTTTTTTTTTTTTTTTTTTTTTTTTNAGCTCACAGCCCACCTGATGTTAAGTGGTTACTGGAGCCCATAGACATCTGCAACGTAAATGCGCCACACACCTTGAGATATAGTTCTGAGGTCTCAGTATAGTCACAACGGCTGCCCCACCCTTCAAACCGAAACGCATTACTGCTTCACGGCAGAAATAGGCAGGGTGGTGGTACCTACCCGTGCGGACTCACAAGAGGTCCTACCACCAGTAATTACGCAAATTATAATTTTGCGGGTTTCATTTTTATTACACGATGTTATTCCTTCACCGTGGAAATCAATCGTGAACATTTGTTGAGTACGTATTTCATTAGAAAAATTGGTACCTGCCTGCGGGATTCGAACACCGGTGCATCGCTCAACACGAATGCACCGGACGTCTTATCTGTTAGGCCACGACGACTTCAAAGTTGAGTTGAGTCATAATTAACAAACAGAACCTTGTTGAGCCTCTTTGAGCTTCTTCTTCCTTTTCATCCAAAACGTGCTTATTTCCCACCTGGGTGCTGTATTTTATGCACTCACAGAACGCACCGGTGATGTCGAGAGGTCACAGGAGCTCATAGCTATCACTGTCACTCTGGATGCACCATCGGAATTTCAGTTGTGATAAACAGAGTGTACGATTGTTTCGTGGTGGAAAAGAGCAAAATGATGGCACCCACCCGTGCGGACCCACAGCATGACCCACCGGCTGTGCTTCGGACCTCCAGTGTGCTCAGTGCGAGTTTTTTTAACTTTTAGATCGCGTTAAAGCTAACTGAAATTTGTATGGAACAGCGCCCCTAGCGGCAAACTTAGGCAAATGTTCCAATATATATTTGAGTTAACTTTCACGCTATCGAGAACGTTAAAAGCGTTTTTTTTATTGGTTAGATGGGTGGACGAGCTCACAGCCCACCTGGTGTTAAGTGTGTAAACTCTCACTTAGCACACAGAAGTGACGTTTTAGTCGGTTTGCAAAATGTAGGGATGTTAGCACCTTAAGGGACCGTCTTAGGAAGCTTCCTTATTAGGAACGGGGGGCACTAATATGTGCGCTGTAATATTAATTTCTGTTGTATAACTATTGTTTCTTCTTACAGATATTAGACAACGATAATTATTATTTCAAAGTGTACATACCGCGCGTGTCGGAGAGAAACGGACCTATATGCTGCTACAGGTCAGTGATGACGACTCAATACTTTGTATGCAATCATATATGTATATGAGCTGCCATTTTGAAATTTTTATACATCAAAGTTGAAGTTAAAAATATTTACTTATTTAACTTTGGTAACTATCTGCAAATGACATATTAATGTGTTGATATGATCGTTAACTGGAAATATACAATCTATACTGCAATCAACAATGAACCTGAAACTAAAACCCTTAAAAAATTACAACAATAATGATAATAATTTAATAACTAAAATATATTATCGAAAGGAGTCCTTTTAGGCAAGGTTCCGAAGATACTGGCAGCGTTCTCCCTTTGATTATCTAGATAATAATAGTTAAAAATATGTTTTCATTTGTCTGTTTGTTCGATAGAAAATGTTCATTGTCAATCACTATGTAATGCATCTTTTGACCTTGGAACAATTTTGTCTTGTGCATTGATGAGAGCACCCGCATACATGCTATAGTTATATAGATTGAGCAGTTAATTCAGTTTTATTTTAACTGTGTGGTTCTACAACAGTTAAAACAAAAATGATTATAACTACTTAACACTAACAGCCATGTAGGTCACCAGTGCCCTACGCGGCGCACTGAAGTAATTATGTCGATTTCTCTCTTCGATCTTCTTACTAAGGTGCCAGAATTTCTAGTGGATTCTGGGAAAGATGAATCTGAAGATACTGACAGTTAATCTATTTATAAGTGACATAAAACTGTAACACACATTATCATACAAAAGAAGTTAGATAATCCAGGCGCTTAGTAACAGAAATCAATTGTATTCAGTCATTCAATCGTACAGTCAATGTATTAACGAGCTTATATTAAATTAATGTCTACTTACTATAAAGTCAATGATTATCTAGATTAATCTAGAAGATTGCACAAAGTGGGAATGAGTAGCTCGCTCCGGGCATTTCAATATTGTAATAATTGTTACGTTATAATACATCTTGTGAAAATGAATATTTAAAAAGATCTAATATTAAAAAAGACTGAGTTTCTTGCCAGTTCTTCTCAGGACGGAGGCTAGTTTTTGTGAATTGGCGGTAGTTCTTTTTGACGTTCAACAAGTGTGTACCTTCTTTATGTTGAATAAAAAAATTGATTTTATTTTATTTTTATTTGATGATGATTGCGTGTGTTGTCCAGGGTGTACATGGTCCGCGTGGCGGGCGACGCGTCGCTGCGGGAACTGTCCCCGCTGCGCGCCGGACACTCCGCGCACCTCGACGCCTACGTCACCGACATCTTCTCCAAGTACGCTCCCCTCCCGCAGATCTCGCGGAGCTCAGCCGTAACCAATCCAATCTGACGAGCTTCATCAGACCCGATTCGGGCTCCGTGTGATAGACATTAATGTAGCTCACAGCCCACCTGGTATTAAGTGATTACGGGAGCCCATAGACGTCTAAAACGTAAATGCGCCGCCCACTTTGAGATGTAGGGTCTCAGTATAGTTACAACGGCTACCCCATCCTTCGAACCGAAACGCATTACTGCTTCACGGCAGAAATAGGCAGGGTGGTGGTACTGTTACATACGCCCCTCAATATTAACGCAATATAAATAATAACGCAGACTTAAGGTATCCCTGAATGCATCGTGTTTGTATAAAGACGATTTATTGCTAAAGCGGAACAGAACAGAATTGGCTTGACTTGCGGAATAACACATCGCTTGTACTATTTCTTATATAAAATAAACTCCGTGTCAGTCACAGTTTCCTTTTTTTTTAATGAGCTCCGGAACCCATCTCGTAACAATACCTACCGGTGCGGTTTTTACTGGTGGTAGGACCTCTTGTGAGTCCGCGCGGGCGGGTATCACCGCCCCGCCTATTTCTGCCGTGAAGCAGTAATGCGTTTCGGCTTGAAGGGTGGGGCAGCCGTTGTAACTATACTTGAGGCCTTAGAACTTATATCTCAAGGTTTACGTTGTGGATGTCTATGGTCTCCAGTAACCACTTAACACCAGGTGGGCTGTGAGCTCGTCCACCCATATAAGCAATAAAAAAAAAAGGTTCTGTCACCAGTGTTATAATAATATAAAGGTTATGTTTATCTCGCGTTGAATATCCGCGATGGACCCGCCGGCCCGCGTCCGCCGGGTCAACTGTGTCCGTGTTCGACTCGACTGCGTTAGATCATCGTTTATATTGGCCCCAAGTGACGTCACTTGTGGTGAAGTTTCGTTTAAAAAATGTATGTGGAATTTCTAAAAATGAGTGCTATCTGAATATGTGACTTTTGCATTTAGTAAATAAATTCGTGATTGCGTTAAAGTCTATTGTTGATTTTCTACAGCAAAAACTTCCCGCCGGATTCCGAGCTGGTGATGGGAGACGGGCGCTCGCACTACGACCCGGCGCGCGACCCCGCCCTCGCCGACGACAACTGCTCGCGCTGTCTCAAGGAACCCAGACGGTGAGACAACTTCACTAACTAACTGTTTACCTAAACTTATTATTCGAGACGATCCCCTCGTCTCCGTTTTAATACGCTTTTATTACATCTTACATCTCTCCTTTTTAATACGCTATTATTGTCAAGAAGACAGTTAATTAAACCAGATTTCTTTAATGCATGCTTATATTCTGGGGTCGCCCTTGAAACAAAACAAAAAGGGTGCGTGTACTTATACGTACGTGTACGCGCGGAAGAAATTATACTTTATTTTTATTAAATTTGTTTCTTTTTTTTAATTAAAATTTTAATCAATTTGAAAAAAATCGATTAAACAACATCCTCAAACACGCATATTGGACATCCCTTTTCTTGACATCGTATAAATTCGGTAATTCTCGGTGCGGTTCGGAAAGTTCACCTGCGGCTATATTCAGACTCGCCAAGCTACGTCGGTCGTATTGTAATGAGCGATTTAGTGGGCAACTTCATTCTGTTAATTTTGTGTCACGGTGCGCGCGCATCGTAAAATTTCACTCTCATCAATTTTTCATAACGCGCCTAAAGAAGTATAACTTCAATAAATATGTAAAATATAGGTATATATTTGGATACGTTTGGAGCATACTTTTCCCCGTTGAACCGGTAATAATATATTTTGACTGGCTTGACAATGAAAATTTCAAGATCGTGAAGGCTTAAAGTCATGTGACGGTGATTATTTTGTACGATGCGCGATGTAAACTTGATGCTTGCCTTACACCAAATGATTAACCTTGTCTTTTAGTCTTCTTCTATCGTTCTCGCCTTCGTTTAGTCTTAACCTTTTTTAATACGCTTTTTTTGGCTTCAGACGCATGTCTGGACGGAATCTTTGAACATGATTTTGACCGACTTCAGAACGTCGGATTAACTCGAGGTTGGGTATACTTATTAAGGACCGATGACAATTCAATATTAAAAAAAATATGAAAAAATTGAAATTCAATAAAAAAATGAAAAATAAATAATTGAAAATAAATTTTAATAATTTTGAATCAAAAATAAGGTTAGAAAAAAAAAATTTACGTTAAAAAGCGTTTTGATTGAATTTTCTATAAAAGCGTATTTTGTTATAATAGTTTTTTTAAACTATTATTTATTATCATCGCACCTCCCGCCATCGGAGCCGAGTTCATCCATATTATCTGGAACCACTGCGGTCATCCACAGTGCGTTTCCAAAGATCTTTTTTGCCACGTACCATCCGGTTTTGGAATGACTTCTCATCCACAATGTTTCCCGAGCGCTATGACATGTCCTTCTTCAAACGAGGCTTGCGGGGAGTACTTAACGGTAGGCAGCGGCTTGGCTCTGCCCCTGGCATTGCTGATGTCCATGAGCGACGGTGACCACTTACCATCAGTTGGACTGTATGCTCGTCTGCCTACAAAGGCAATAAAAAAAAACTATAGTCCGCAAGAGGGCCTCACGACTCGCTCAGTCTCATCGTGTTGTGTCCCCGGCAGATACACGGAGGCCGCGCCCTCGCCCCCCACCACCACCACCGCCCCCACCACCAGCACCGCCACCACCGTCGACGAGTACATTGACGACGTGGACTACACCACCGACGAACCAGACCCCGCCGCGAGGAACGCACGACATCTCGACAGGTAAAACATTAGTACAGATACCGTAGTAGGGGAAAGCGTCGAGCTGGTTAAGGTCGACAGTCCCATATTATATCGTTGGAAAATTGGGATATATTATGTATTTTTTTTTGTATATCCGTTAGCTACCGCACACAATAACAAGACAACCTTAACAGTATTTATACGTATAATCCGGTCATCCTTCTCTTCGAACCTGTCGTTTGCGACGAAGGGCTCGACGAGTGAATTAACCCACAGACACAGCCCACTGAGTTTCTCGCCGGATCTTCCCAGTGGGTCGCGTTTCCGATCCGGTGGTAGATTCTGCGAAGCATGGCTCTTTTCTAGGGCCAGTGTTAGCAACAACATCAGATTTGAGCCCCGCGAGCTCACCTACTTATTAAGTTACGCTGAGATAACCTCTCAAGGCAATCAACTTGGTAGGAAAAAAAACGTATAATGAAAATCGTCATTCAATCAATGTCGTATGTAAGTTCATGATTTAGATTTAGAACCACTCGATGAAATTTAATAAATCTAACATTTCAGTCATTCTTTACGCTTTATGCTTAGTTAAACTAATAACGACGCCTAATGATACATGGTTATTGCCGTTAATTTGGCCCCAAATGACGTCATACTTAAAACTGCGCTCGGTAGGGCTGTGTTGCGTGGTAAATAAAAAAAAAACATTTCTGTTTCATTCAGTCCCTTATTGTTAATTGAAATAATAAATTAATAATATAATATGCTTTGTACTTTTTTTTTAAAAACAGTCAAAGCCCGCTCTTGGAAAGTATTGAAGATAAGGAGAAGGAATGGGCGCCCTTCGACAGACCTTTGGATCCCAACGCTGACTACACGCTCTACGTCGAACTCATACGTAAGTATTAATCACGGTAGACAGCGGCTTGGCTCTGCCCCTGGCATTGCTGAAGTCCATGGGCGACGGTAACCACTCACCATCAGGTGGGCCGTATGCCCGTCTGCCTACGAAGGCAATAAAAAAAAAACATATTTATTTTTAATTGCTAAGGTAGGTAGACGACCTCGCGGTCCAATCAATGTCAAATTGTCAATATCATCGCCTCGGCTCGATTTTATAGCAGGCTTTATAGGCTACCCCGCCTTTCAAACTGAAACGCATTACTCCTTCAGTCAGAAACAGGCAGAGTACCTACCACCAGTATGATGATGATGCTAAGCCCAAATGTTTTTTCGAGTGTAAATTTATTACGTCCGTCTGGTGTAGTGGTAAGTGACATGGTCACTACACAAGGGGGTCGCGGGTTCGAATCCCGCCAAGGGAAGATATTTGTATGATAAATATAAATGTCTTTTCCAGGGTTATGTATGTATATTAAATATATTTATGTGTATAATAAAAAATCTTATGTTTATTTCCGTTATCTGGTACCTGTAACACAAGTTCCTTACGAACCTATAAGGGGACAAGTTAAAAAAAAATAAATTATAACAATAGTTCAAATAATGGTTGAGCATCTGTGAAGTGCACAAATATTGGAAAATAAAACCTAGTCGTTGACAAGGTCCATTGTAAAAGTTTCCGTAAATGATTACCATTTTACTGAGAGTTTATTTAATTCCATCACATTTCGTTCCGTTTAATTTCACTTGAATTTATTAAAGTGTGAACTTCATTTCATTTCGCCTCATATCGATTTTCATATTAATTGTAATAGAGAAGATAATATAAGAGTCGATTCCAAATCGAAAATTTAGCTTTCAGTTTTTCATACCTTCATCTTTCTTATACCTTTAAACGAGCAATTCTTGTATATATAATCTGAATCTTGGAAATGGCTCCAACGATTTTTATAAAAATTAATGTACAGGAGATTTTGGGGGCGATAAATCGATCTAGCTACGATTTATTTTCAGAAAATGTTATTTTATTCGTGTTTTCAATAATCAACTTTATCGATATCAACTTAATGACTCTTCCCGACATCTATTGGCGAATAATAATACTATTTTTCATAATTGAGAGCAACTAACTGCTATAAAGACACAATAACACTAAAGCTATTTCAGCAGATGGCGTTGTTAATCCACCCGAAGCCACTTAAAAATGCCTAAACGATCTTGGAATATTTCATCATTTTATCAATATGTAATTCGTATTTAAATATAATTTCTAAAAAACACAATTTATCACAAAAAAAAAATACGGTCATTGTCTTGTAAATAATTATGTCCCATTCTTCTTCTTCTTTTTAAGTATGGCAATTAACTTCTTGCGACGCCGTTGTTGTCATGGACGAATTTAAAAAAAGAATTTAAAAAAATGTTATAAAGCCAAACGCTATGGAGTTGATTAATTGAGAGGGTGTGTCTGTTGTGTCGGCAGCGGGCGTGCCGCACGAGGAGCCGCTGTACAGCGTGTTCCTGAACCTGCTGCGCGCCGCCGCTCCCCCCGCGCCCCCCTCCACGCCCTCGCCGCTCGAGCTCATCCTGCAGGTCCGCACCGCGTGCACTAGGGATGATCGATATTAGAAAAAACATCGATGTTAACTTCGATTTAAAAGTATCGATGTAAGATAAACATCGATAGCAAAACATCGATTTCTAAAAGCATCGATATCTTTGCTAGGAAATAAAGCTGTCTATTTTATTTATTACTAGCGGCCCGCTCCGGCTTCGCTCGGGTCTTGAACAAAATTAATAATTATAATTTTAATGAACTTTTATTTTCATTTAAATATTATTTGTTTTTATCTATTTTTTCATCATTTTTGTATTATTATTTTTCTAATTTTCGTAACAATATTGGAGTTTTAGTAAGGATCCCTAATTTTAAAGAAAAAAGTATTATAGCCTATGTCACTCGGGGATAGTGTAGTTTCCAAACAGTGAAAGATTTTTTTAAATCGGTTCAGTAGTTTCGGAGCCTATTCAATACAAACAAACAAACAAATCTTTCCTCTTTATAATATTAGTATAGATACGTGTTTATTAATTAAAACTACGTTTTACGGATTATAAGCGGGCGTTTAATCACATCACACACATCACACTTCACAATTTAAATTTTCTTAATTTCACACACGTTTATGTAGTACGGCGTACTTTGATTACGGTAATCAGTGTCATCTGGCTTAAAATAGTTGTACTACTTAGGGACTCACTAGCTAGAAAGTACATCCATCGCTAGATGGCCCTAAAAGATATATAGGCGTTTCGATAATTCGATATTTTATTCACATAACATCGATGTGTCGATGTTATTTATTTATTTGGGAAACAAACAGTACAATACAAACATAATATTTTAAAAAATATAGCTAAAACAATAACCAAATATGTTTCCACAGTCAAAATCGCATATAAGTAGAAAGGGAACAGAGAAGAGAAATTTAGAATACACATACACATGTTATTTTGTACATCAACTTACACTATAAAACTATAATACTCATCGGACTAAATCACCTTATAAATATTTTAAAATAGCTTATCTATATGCTACAAGTGACAAGCAAAAGATGTCAGCATCAGAGAACTTAGCGAAACCAAAACATCGATGAGTATCGACCATCCCTAGCGTGCAGTGGCGCGTCCCTAGGGTCGGTAAGTGAGCTGACAGTGTGCGCGCGCAGGTGACGTGCGGCGTGGCGGCCGCGCTGCTGCTGGCCATGCTCGCGTTCTGCGTGCTGCAAGCGCACCGCTTCAGGAAGCCGCCCCACGCGCACCTCGAAATGAACCCTATACAGTCGGCGTTAAGGTACACTGTCTATGCGAACATTGCCTGCCTTTAATATTCTTTGGTACATAAAATAATGTTTGCACTATTTAACTTCTACTTTCCATCGGATGACAATTGTTCGTCTAGTGCTAGCGTACGCTCTGGGTCGCTAGCCTTGACGGTGCCTACAGTTGGTGAGATAAAAACCGCCACTTACTTTGAGGCATGAGGTCAACGTCTTAATGATACGGCCGACCCACCGCGCGGGGACCTTCATTACTAAATTATTCAAAGCCATTTATGATGCGGCTCTTGTATAGTTTTTAAGGGTTCAGATACCAAGGTACAGTTTTTTAACACTGAATTGTTGGAATAAGATTTAATAAAAATCATGCGGGTACCACGCACACTCGTGTTCTGTGCAGCTGCATGGGGCTGGGCGGGCGCGGCGCGGGCGTGAGGGCGCGGGCGGCGCCGGTGCCCCGCGAGCAGCTCGCCGCCGCCTACCTGCAGCGCCAGCTCGACTCCGACTACGGCTTCCAGAACGAGTTCGAGGTAACGTCGACCCCGCGCGCACTTCGCCGTGCACTGCGGGCCAGTGCGGGCTCACTACATGCCTCGTGTTGTGCGCAGTCCCTGCAGTCGGAGTGCCACGCGGACCGCACCACGCACGCGTCGGAGGCCCGCGAGAACCAGCACAAGAACCGCTACCCCGACATCAAGGCCTACGACCAGACCAGGGTCAAGCTCTCGCAGATCGACAGCATCACCGGCTCCGACTACATCAACGCCAACTACGTCATGGGGTACCAGGTCAGTCGCGTGCGAACCCGCGCTAGTGCGAGCTTTTTTTTTCCTACCTAAGCTGAGAGTCTTGAAAGGCTATTTCAGCGTAACCTTAACTAGTAGGTGAGCTCACGGGGCTCAAACCTGACGACGTTGCTAACACGAACCCTAGCAAGAACCGTGCTTCGCAGTATCCACCACCGGATCGGAAACGCGACCCACTGAGAAGATCCGGCGCGAAACTCAGTGGGCTGTGTCTGAGGGCTAATTCACTCGTCGAGCCCTTCATCGCAAGCGACGGGTTCGACGAGAACAATGACCTTAGTGCGAGCGCTGACCAACCAGCTCTTCCTACAAACGTGACGAAATTGCCATTTGACTATGAAAATTACTATCGCATTATCAACTAACATTTGCTGAAATTATTTCCCCCCTTCCCGCTGAGTGGCCCGGGCTGCCCGGTGAATCCGCAGAGGTCCTTGGGCCACCAGCGATCCCTTCACACAAAAATATAACACAATACCCACCTTGAAATATTAGATGAGTGCGCATGCAATGTCGGATTGTTTTAGTGAATTTCTAAAACTGCATATTATGTCTTTTCATTAGCTATGTGCTCTCATTAGCTCGGTGAGTTTCGATGCATATCTTAAAAAAAAATTGAGCACCAAATTTTTCAGACTGTATCCATTTTCATACTGTTAAAGGTACTGATAAAGTTACTGGCTTACTGCGAAACCAGATTAAAAATCTTAAAAAGAAGTGGGTTGGCGAGAGATCCGGTGAATGCGCTGAATGTTGCAAAATTCTACACTTAGATTCGATTAAATATCACATTTGTTCATACACACAAATCATAAATGTTCAAGCCAATGTTCGACCATTAGTAGCTTCCCCCTGAACGCCTGGTCTGTATTGCGTGCAGCTTTGACAGAATTATTATTGGAAGAGCAACGTTAACCCCTGGCCCAATAGCCCGAACCCTCCCAACCCCCTCGAGATCAGAACTCGGCAGGATAAGGAGACTCACACGACCCACCCCACGACATGTCATGAGCACCAATCTAATGTATTGTTTGTTTCTCTACGCCTCCAAAGGACCCTACGAATCCCAATCAACAGGTAATCATTACTTTATAAAAGACAAGCCATAACGTCGGATGTCCACACGAGTTAAAATAAACCATTTGAATTTTTTAGTCCTTGTGATACCTTAGTTGCTTTTCATAGTTCGCTTAATACATGTATAGTGGAGATTCGACTTTAAGCCTCTGATAATAAAATAAAAAATGTAATATGTACATAACTTCATGGACAAATTTGAGCTTTATCGATTACAAAATAAAGTATAAAATGAAAGTTTTTGCTTGTCCGAACGAAGCTAACATTCGGCCGCATTCTTTTTTTGCATAGATGGGTGGACGAGCTCACAGCCCACCTGGTGTTAAGTGGTTACTGGAACCCATAGACATCTACAACGTAAATGTGCCACCCGCCTTGAGATATAAGTTCTTAGGTCTCAGTATAGTTACAACGGCTGCCCCACTTTTCTAACCGAAACGCATTACTGCTTCACGGCAGAAATAGGCAGGGTGGCGGCACCTACCAGCGCGGAATTACATGAGGTCCTACCACCAGTAAGCCTTCGAATTAAATGCTTTCAACTTTAAAATCAGGACCGTAAGAAGTTCATCTGCGCTCAAGGACCGACGGACGCCACCGTCAACGACTTCTGGCGCATGGTGTGGGAGCAGCGCATCGAGCTCATCGTCATGCTCACCAACCTCGAGGAGTACTCCAAGGTCAAGTGCTCCAAGTACTGGCCGGACGAGGTGCGCGGCGTCAAGGCCTTCGGGAGCATCGCCGTGACCCACGTCGCCGAGAAGCGGTGAGGCATAGGGCTCCGCGGGCGCCGCCCCCGCCCCGACCCATTGCTAACGCCACTCCGCTGTCCCCAGGTACTCGGACTACATCGTCAGGGAGCTGAGGATCACGAAGCAGCAGCCCTCCGAAGGGCAGCCCGTCATCGAGAACAACGGCGTCGCCAAGAGAAATGGCGGTGAGCGCTGCCATAATAATAATTGGGTCATAACAGCTTTAGCCGAAAAAGACATGGAGTGTGTGAATGATGATATGAGAGAGAGAGAGGAGTGAGGGTTTAGATGACGGTTGATAGAAGAGAATGGAAGAGAAGAATTAGCTGTGCCGACTCCACCTAGTGGTATAAGGTGGAGACAAAGAAGAAGAACAGCTTTAAGCCATAAACATCAGTCGCACGTTCACCTCTGGAGTGAGACATCTAATTCCGGTCCGTAGAGCGCCGTCCCTGTCGCACGGAGTGTGTACCGGGGCGCTGGGCTCGTGGAACCCTCGATCACGTGTTCAATTCCCCGACAGATATAAAGGAGCCGCAGGAGTGGAGCGAGGAGGGCGAGGCCCGCGTCGTCCGACAGTATCACTTCCTGATGTGGAAGGACTTCGGGGCGCCCGAGTATCCACAGTCGATCCTTAAGTTCATCAAGGTAAGGGCTATATTTGATCACCTCACCAAAACGACACTCTGACAGCTGTCAGATTTACATATTATATATAGTCTAGTCTAGTGTTGCCCCGCCCTTCAAACCGAAACGCATTACTGCTTCACGGCAGAAATAGGCAGGGTGGTGGTACCTACGCGTGAGAACTCACAAGAGGTCCTACCACTAGTATTTTTTGCAATATTATTATTTATTATTTTATTATTAGCAGTACCAATTTTTATATTTTATAATAGCATATAGAAAAGCTATTTTGGAATATTTGTAAGGTGATTTAGTCCGATGAGTATTACTAAGTTTTATAGTGTAAATTGATGTAGATAATAATGTGTGCCGTATTGTGTTGCTTTTGTGTTTTTTCTGTTTTTTTTGTGTATACTTAAATTTCTCTTTTTTTTCCTTTGTTCACTCTCAACTTATATGTGATGATGATGATGGTGGAAACGTGTTTGGTTATTGTTTTAGTATTTTTTTAATCTGTATATATAAAAATGAATTGCTGTTCGTTAGTCTCGCTAAAATTCGGAGAACAGCTGGACTGATTTGGCTAATTTTGGTCTTGAATTATTTGTGGAAGTCCAGAGGTATGATGATGATGATGATGAGGTTTAAAAGGTTTAGATAAATATGAAAATGCTCGGAATTAAATAAAAATAACAATTTCGTATTCCCTTTGATGTGTCCCCCGTCGGACGGATTCCTTTTGTTTGTTTAAAGTTTATTTTATACAAACGAAGTCTGCCGGGTCAGCTAGTATAATATGTATACCTTGTACTGTTGCGTGTTGCAGCGCGTGAACGAGGCGTGGGCGGCGGGCGCGGCGGGCGGCGCGGCGGCGGTGCACTGCTCGGCGGGCGTGGGGCGCACGGGCACGCTGGTGGCGCTGGACGTGCTGCTGGACGAGCTGCGGGAGCGCCGCGCCGTGTCCGTGCTGCCCACCGTCGCCGACCTGCGCCGCCAGAGGAACTTCCTCGTGCAGTCGCTGGTCAGTGACGCTCCGACCAGTAAATTAACCCACAGACACAGCCCACTGACTTTCTCTGGCCCGATCTTCTCAGTGGGTCGCGTTTCCGATTCGATGGTAGATACTCCGAAGCACGGCTCTTGATAGGGTTCGTGTTAACGACGTCATCAGGTTTGAGCCTCGTGAGCTCATCTACTAGTTAAGGTTACGCTGATATAGCCTCTCAAGGCTTTCAGTTAGGTAGGAAAAAAAAAAGGTCAGTAACACAACACCCTCTGGAACGGAACCCTATCTACTTTAAGCGACATTTGTGTAACTGGTGATAGAACGTCTTGTGAGTCCGCACGGGTAGGTACCACCACCCTGCCTATTTAAGTCGTGAAGCTGTAAAGCGTTTCGGTTTGAAGCTAATACTGGAGATCCTAGAACTTATATCCCAAAGTGGGTGGCGCATTTACGTTGTAGATGTCTATGGGTTCCAGTAACCACTTAACACCAGGTGAGCTGTGAGCTCGTCCACCCATTTAAGCAATAGGTAGGTAGCGGCTTGGCTCTGCCCCTGACATTGCTGAAGTCCATGGGCGACGGTAACCACTCACCATCAGGTGGACTGTATGCTCGTCTGCCTACAAGGGCAATAAAAAAAAAATATCCCTTCACCGTGGAAGTCAATCGTGAACATTTATCGAGTACGTATCTCATTAGAGAAATCGCGTGCGCGTCCACAGAAGCAGTACATATTCGTGTACCGCGCGCTGGTGGAGTACGCGCACTACGGCGACACGGAGCTCCCGGCCGCGCAGCTGCGGGCCGCCGTGGACCGCCTGCGGAGCACCCCCGATGGCGCCGACCGCAGCCTCATGGAAGTCGAGTTTGAGGTAACGCGCTTCAAGCGTTGTTGTTGTTCATCAACACGTTTATATATTATACATGTACAGAAAAACACGTGTGGCACTCGAGGACTGCCGCGGTAATTGCATAGCATTTTTTATCAACTTATGCAATTATAATTAGACAATAATAATTTAATATTCAAACAATAATAAGACCACGCTGTATTTATAAACATTAACAAAAGCAAAACATTAACTGTCTCCTTCACACTCATAAGCTAGACCGCGCGAGAGAGAGATGGGCAGACTTTTCATTATGCGCGTGCAGTGCGACGTCACGCCGCGCGCTTATTCACAAACACTACACAAGCGCAACGTGTGAATGTGTTGAACGCGAGCCACATGGTAGGCGGAGTGGGGAGGTGCTAGGTTTTATTTTCGTTACGGAATTTCTTGATTCGGTCGCCACGATAATAGCTATTAAAACTTCTTTTATGTAATTTTTATATAAAAACTTTTGTTTTTTTTTTAAAAAAAATTTCATATACAACATGTAACATAATTAACGCACACCCTGAAAGTAATTTGTTCAGAATCGGAATCTGGATCGATTTTGATTGTTTTTTATGTACCAAATTTTTTTTCTAAAATTTAGTTAAAACTAAGTAAATTACAGTCACCCTACACAGCTAGCTAAACAATTCATAGAAACGAAAATGGAACGTAAGTCAGGGTATTAAGACTTTTTAAAATGAAATATCTAATTAGTAAAAAAAAAATATTATTTAATTAAATAAATCTGATACTTATTTCAAGGCTAATAGTCTATTAAAAAATAAAATACCTACGCACACAATACCAACAGCGACCGCCGGCACACAGCAACACTACAATACATAAAAGAAAACCACGTAATACAAAAATAATTACTATCCCTTTCTTTCGTCGGCTTAATATTCTTACAATAAACGGCAGGCTAATCCCGATGCGACGCGGTTGCGTCGGCGGTGATCAAAGAAAAATCTAAAC